GCTGCCGCGACGTCGACTCGAGTAGAGATGGTCGCCTCTAAAGCCAACATCTTTTTCGTTGGCAAGTCATGGGGGCCTGGTTTATTCTCTTGATTCCGTCTTTAGCGTCGATAAGCGTCGAACAGCGTCTGGGAGTCGATGAGATAGCACCGAATTAGCGTCGATTAGTGTCGATTTTGCGTCGATTAGCGTTGGCCTAACGTCGACATAGCGTCGATCAGCGTCGATTCGCAAGAGCCTACAAGATGGTACGGCAGGCTCCCGTGAGTTGCCACCGAAATCTTTGGCCAGTCTGGTCGGATCTGGACTTTTCCTGGGGCTGCGCAGGACTGTCTTGGGTATTCTCTGGCCGCCTTGAGGCTTTCTCGGGGCCAATGGCTGCCCTCTTGAGGGCCTCTTGGGGCTCTCTGGGACCGTCTTGCGGCTCTCCGAAACCTTTCCGAGGCATTATTCACCTACACGTTGGGGAAGCAAACGCATTCAACCATTTCACGGTCCTGAGTGCTGTGACCTCCTAGGGCCTTTCCGGTGGGTTTCTTGGGGTCTGTGGCGCGTCGTCGGGCCGTCTCCTGCGGGTCTTGGGGCGCCGTGCAGCTGTCTTGGGGCCGGTCTGGGGACGTGGAGAGTGCCAGGAAGGGAAGAAGACTACATGGGCGGTTTGAGGGGATTTGGTTTTGTAGGAGGCGGACGCCCCTACCCGGCAGTTAAGAGGCATTCCACCGTGCCCAAAGTCCTGATGACACGGGCGCGGGCATGTTCTTTTTGGGCAGCCGAAGCCATCGTTTTGAATGCAGGGGGTCTTCGAAATGCGAGGCAGAGGTGGACAGTGAGTTGTGGTGCTGACTGTCTGGCCGCCCGTGTTGCGGCGCTTGTATCAAACTCTTTTCTGGTGTCGGGCTATGCCTGGCGTGGTGTAGGACTTGATTGGCGCTGGTCCAAAGTATGCACTTTATTGCCAGAAGAATGCAGCCTACGGGTGAGACTACGCTGGTCGTGCAGCTACAGAGTGAATCGCGAAAGGGATCTCGGCCGAACGAATGGTAGGTCATGTGCAACCTGACTCGCCCATGTCGTACGTCGTCTGCAGTGATGTTGGTTTTGACGCTGTCGTAACACAAGACACGTAGAGGTGGACGAATGAAGGAAGGGGCTACCGTTTGGTGCGATTGGTTGTCACAGCAGAGAGCTAGGGGAGCTTGTATTTCCACCGCCCCCAGCTGTGTGATCCACTCCCATGACTGCGTTGACGAGCATAGCGCCCCGAGCGGACGAGCGTGTCGCAGGTTCATGCATCGGGGGATTTACCTGTAGAGTTAGACGCAGAAGTCGGAGTGGATCGCACATCTGTTGGGAGTTACGCATGTAGTGTCCCTCTCCTCTTCCAGCCTCTTCCCCTTGCTGTGTGAGCCACGTCTTTGGAGCCTCCCAGAGGGGGCAATGAGATGGGGAGGTAGCACGACGCCCTCGTTTGACAATGCGAACTTGGCCTCGTCGATCCCTGTCCCCGACTTCACGCAGCCTGGGCCGTCTTTGCCGACTCGCAGCCCCACTCGCCCAGGGAGCCCCCCGCCAGCTTATGGCACCGCTCAGCCAGGGAACCCTTCGTTGGCCTTGAACCTCATCGACTCTGGGCCTCCGACGCTACCGCAAACACCCGAGTGACCCGGCTCCCCGACTCCCGCCTACGGCTTGGCCCGCCCTGGCCCTGCCACGCCGGCGCCCGACCCCATGCACTCCGGGCCCCCGCCTCCCACGCGCAGCCCTGCGCGCACGGGCCCGACCACGCCTGCTTACGGCATGTGTCGCTCGGGGGCGCCGCCGCCGGCACCCGACCACGTGCATACAGGCCCCCTCCCGCCCCCGCGGGCTCCGTCTCGTTCTGGGCCGGCGCCTCCCGCCTACGGAGTGAGCCGGTCGGGCCCCACGCCGCCCGCCCTCGACCCCGCTCTCACGGGGCCGCCGCCGCCAGCGTGCGGTCCTAGCCGTTCGGGACCGGCGCCGCCAGCTTCCGGGACGGCTCGCCCAGGCGCGACGCCGCCCGCGCCAGACCCCATCCATCTCGGGCCCTCCCCGCCGCTGCGGACGCCTAGCCGCACGGGGCCAGCAACGCCTGCCTATGGCATGTCCCGTTCGGGCCCGCCCCCGCCCGCGCCGGACTCCCTCGACGCAGGGCCCACGCCGCCGCCTAGGGCTTCCACGCGGCCCGGCCCACCGCCTCCAGCGTATGGCCCGTGCCGCCCGGGCCCGCCCCCGCCCACGCCCGATCCTGCGAGCACCGGCCCCTCATCTCCGCCGCGCTCGCCTGCGAGGCCTGGCCCGACGACTCCAGCCTATGGCTACTCGCGGCCAGGGCCCTCCACGCCGCTGCCAGACCTCCTGAGCCTTGGGCCTTCGCTGCCACCGCAGAGCCCCACACAGCTGGGCTCCACGTACTCGGCTTACGGCATGACCCGTTCGGAGCCGCCGTTGCCTCCGTCAGACGGTGCACTCTCTGGTCCATCGTTGCTGCCTCAGACTCTCACGCGCCCAGGGTCCTCCCCGCCCGCTTATGGGTGCACGAGGACAGGCTCTGGTTCTCCTGTGCTAGACCTCGTGCAGCCTGGCCCCGCGACGCCGCCGCGGACGCTTGCGCGCACGGGAGCCACGATGTCCGTGTTCAGCGGGTCGCGTTCTGGCTCGCCCTTGCCCGCGTTCGGCGCCACATCTCCAGGCGGGCGGCACGAGCTTCTTCTTCCGAGCCAGGAATTTTCCAGAATCACCGCGTGAGGGAATCGATCTTCGGGACCTCGTCAGGCGGTGGATGTGGACGTATTCGGGCCACCATATACACCGCCTGTCGGGTTCCATGAAGATCGATCCCCCAGGCCGTGGTTCTGGACAAATCCCCGCCTCGTACTTTCGCCCCTTTCCCCCTTCGCCCTCCAAGTGTGCAAGCCCGAACGCCCATCTGCCCCTTCCCACAATCTGCCGCTCCCCGTCTTCTCTCTCGCCGACCCACTGCCATCCTGCTCTGGCCGCGCGTCCTCCTACCCAGGATGAGGAGAGCGGGGAGGCGGGGGCAGTGCCTGGGGGGTCACCGCCAAGGGGGTCACCACCACCTCGTGGATCCTCCTCCTCCTCCTCCTCCTCCTCCTCCTCCTCCTCCTCCTCCTCCTCCTCCTCCTCCTCCTCCTCTTCCTTCCTCCTCCTCCTCCTCCTCCCTCGGTTCAGGGGCCCTCGAGGATCGAGGAGGCTTGGGCGGACGCTTTTGGGCCTCGCTTGGGAGCCCTGGGGTCCCGCTGGGGTCCCAGCAAAAGTCGGCGACCCCCTCCTCTATGATGACCCTGTTGGCAATGCCTGGGGTCCGTGGGGGCCGCCTTGGGGGCCTCTTGACGACCACCCAGGCCCCGACAGTTGACGCTCACTGAACGGCCCTGGGCGTTTGCTAGACAGCCCTGCCCTCTTCGATTCCTTCCCTGGGTGCGTTTACCAAACGGCTTCGCTTATCGGGGGGCTTCCCATGGGGGTGGAGTTTCTGCCCTCTACATTGGGCCGTCTTGAGGCCATCTGAGGCCGTCGTGAGGCCATCTGTTTGGGCCGCCTCGGAGGCGTTTTGGGCCATCCTGGCTGCCGTGGCTGCCTGCCTCGGCGAGACCTCTTCGAGCACATCGGGCCAGACCGGCCGTGGGACCCCCGCAGCGACCCGGATGCCAGTCGCCCGACCCGGGCCCCCCCTCGCCTGGCCAGCGGCCAAAACACAAACGACACGATTCCACCTGCGGCCCTCCATGCTGTGCTACGGCCCATCGGGCGCCGTAGCGCATACCACGCAAAAGCCCACTCCAGATCTCCTGGTATACGCTAAGCTCCGTGGGGCCGTAGGTGGGGTGGTGCCGTCTGTTTTTCTGGTCCGGGGAGGAGTCGGGAGCAGGCTCGGCTGTGCGAGCATAGCGGACCTGATGTTTCGTATTGAGATTCATCGGCGGCGAGCGAGGGCGGGGGGAAGTCTGAAGGAGAAGGCCTTCTCAGAAGGCGGCGGAACTTCTCAGAAGCCCTCGCGCCTTCCCAGAAGCTTTCTGTGCCTTCGGGGAAGGCCTAGAGAACTTTTCAGAAGGCCGGGGGACTTCCAAACCTTCTCCGAGAAGGCCCGCGTCTTTTCACTTCCCCCCTGGGCTCGCCGCCGAGGCCCAGGGGAAAGGGGGAGGGTCATGGGGCAGCGTCAGGGGAGAGTGCCAGGCTCATGGGGGGAAGTGTGTCGACCCCCCACTGGCCCACGGCTCGCCGACGTGGGGCCTCGTAGTCCACACCGCCCAGGGACGTGCGGCTTCGCGGCTGAAGGCCTCTCGGCCGATCCGTCGGCGACGCATCGCCGATCCCAGCTGGTTGTTTTCGCGCCTGACCTGGCCGCCCCCTGCCGTCGCCCCTCCTCCTCCTCCTCCTCCTCCTCCTCCTCCTCCTCCTCCTCCTCCTCCTCGTCCTCCTCGTCCTCCTCCTCCTCCTCCTCCTCCACCTCCTCCTCCTCCTCCTCCTCCTCCTGCCGTCACCCCTCAGACCCAGGGATCCGACACTCGTTTTTTTTTTTTTTTCCTGCGGGCCCCCCCCTGGAAGTCCCGACCCCTTCCCCAGGGCCAGTTTGGCATCCCGAGCTGTCTTCCGACGGTCCCGGGGCCTGACCGAGGGCTCCACGAGGCCGCACACGACGGAAGACTCCCGCCGCGCACTTTTCGATGCGTTGGAGGTCTCTGGAGGGGGGGAAGGGAGGAGTAGGAGGCGGACTCCGATCCCTCTGGCCTTCCGCTCTCTCTCTCTCTCTCTCTCTCTTTCTCTTTATCTCTTTCTGAGGAGGAGGAGGAGGAGGAGGAGGAGGAGGAGGAGGAGGAGGAGGAGGAGGAGGAGGAGGAGGAGGAGGAGGAGGAGGAGGAGGAGGAGCTCTCGTGGCCTCGGGGGGCAGCGCCTTGGCCGAGCACCTCGGCCTGGCTCGGCCGTGGCCCGCCTTAGTTCATGCAAGCTGCGGTCCGCTTTAGTTCCGTTCGATGCGCGCCCAGTTCGACTCGGCCAGTTCGGCTCGCGTCGCAGACCGGCTCGGTTCGGCCTGTTCTGTTCGGCCTTCTGTTTGCGCGGCCGTTTCGGTTCGGCCGGTTCGGCCGGTCGCCCAAGCGAATCGATTAGAGTTTTGACGCTTCGCGTGGTTGGCGACAACCTGGCGGCCATCCGCTATGGCGCGGGAGCCGGCCGTTACAGGCGGCCGCACCTGGCGCAACAGATGGATTTCGCCCTACGGCAAGCCGCCAATAGCGGCCGGCTGCTGTCCTGGCAGGCCGTTCGTCGCCAGCTGAACAAATCAGCGGATAGCTCAGCCACACTGGGTGTGTACTGGGCGGACGGCCTCCGCGCCGCCGGCCACCGTGCCGTGCATGCCTACGTTGCTTGGGCCGATCAGCCGATCAGCCCAATCCTCTACCCCCTTCTTTTCCCTTGCCCTGGCACTGACCTCTGCGACCTGGACAGCTGTCTCCGCGCTGTCAACTCCCTGGACAACCCTCCCTCCCCCGCTCGTCCCCCGTCCTACGCCCCCGCCCGCTAAGTTGCACGCCGTGGGCGCCTCTCTTACGCTGAACGTGCAGCCGTTAGCTGCTCCCTGGCATGTCCCACAGCAACAAAGTGTCATTGCGTCGCTAGCCCTCGTGTGTATGGAACGAGTTCGGCCCCTGGTTCCATCGCACACATTCGCTGGCCCCAGGCGCACGCGGCGGACGCAGGCGCGAGCAGTCGCCGCGCCGCCGCTTGGCTCGCGCGCGCCGCGGCGCGCCGGAGGCGATGTGGGCAGGCCCGCGCGCCCCCGCGCGCGGCCGCTGCCCGCCGTTGCCGCGCGCAGGTGCCACAGGTTTGTGTGTGCCTGGGGCGCGCGCCCCGCGCTCGGGATTTGACGAGAGCGCGGGCAAGAGAACGCCGCCAGGGCCGAGGCGGGGCGCCGGGGCGGCGCGGGGGTCGAATGACCCTGTCGCTGCGCTAGTGGACGCACTCGCGCGCGTCGACATCGGCGCGAAGCTGGGCGACGTCCGCCTCAGCGATTTGCCGTCTGCTTGCTGGCCGTCGCCGGCGTCGTGCGACTGGCTCGACAGCCAGGCGCCCACGCGCGCGCGGTGTATCGCTCAGCGTTCGCACGCGGCGCTTCGGAGCGGCGCAGGTCAAAGCGGCCCAAGCGAAGGGGATCGCGAGACCGTTCATTTACAGCGATTTGAAGAAGTGGCTGGCACACTGGGCGGTGGAGAAGCGCGGCGGTTAGGACGGCGCGGACGCGAACAAAGAAGGCGCGCTCTTTCGGCGCGCGCATTCTGGGCGGAGCCGCCGCCTCGCGAGGGCTGTCGCTCATGCCCTGGTCGGTCGCATTCGACCGGTGGGCCCTGGCCGCGAGCTTCACGGGCCAGATTGAACTGGCCGCCGCGATGGCGCACAAGGACGTCGTCATGCAGATCGCACTGCAGGCGAACTCCCTTCCCTGGTCTCGCGGCCGAGGCCGGCCGCCGCCCGCGCGCGTTGCGGGCAGGCGCGCGGGGTGCACAAGTCCACAGCCCTGGCGGTCATCTATGACGAGCTGGCCAGGCGGGAGTGGGCCGATCGCGCCAGTGGCTCCAGCTCCTTTAACGTCAACCGCGACGCGCTGCAGCAAGAGCAGAGCCTGTACATACGCGCCGAGCGCGAGTGCACGGCTCGCGGGCATCCCAACCTCTCCGATCGGCAGCAGAAGGGCAGCGGCAAGGGCGCCCCCCATGCGGAGTCCAAGGGGGAAGGCAAGGGCAAGTCCCAGCATGCCGAGAGCGACAAGGGCTGGGGCAAGTCCTGGGAGCCCAAGAGCTGGGGCAAGTCCTGGGAATCGCGGGCCCACGCGAAGGGCAAAGGCAAGCGCGACGCAGCGCGGGGCACAAAGCAGCCGCGCACGCCGAAGCGCAAGCGCGAAGATTGAGGCGCGAGCACCGTCGCGCGGCCGGCAGCGCGCGCTCGCGCGCGGAAAGCGCGCCCAGGCTTGGCGGAGCGCGAGAGCGCGGGCATGCCCGCGCCGAATTTGCCAGATGGCAGGTCTCTCTCTGCATCACAGGCGCGGCGCGCTTCCGTCGCGCGTGGGCGCCCCGAACCCTTGGGGGCCGTCGGCCGGCAGGCGCGGGCGCCAGTGACGGCCTCTGGGGCAATGTGCCCGTCGGAAGACCGGAGCGCGCCAGTGCCTGACGGGCGGAGTGCTGCAAGCAGCGCCGCGGCGGGCTCGTGGCTCCCCCGTTTTGAAGAGCTGGCGTCCAGCGCCGAGGCGGAGAGCGCGGCCGCGATGCCCCGCGCCTTCCGCGCGCCAGCGCCGCAGCGTCGCAGGGGGAAGACAAGGCAAATTTCGACTTTGTCATTAATGCCGCGTCGAAGGGCACGGCGTGGTTTCAAGACGCCGCGCCCCTGCGCGACGATCTCAGCGCCTGTGTCGACTGGGCAAAGTCGCGCAGTTGCCAGCAGGCGCGACAGTCGCAACTCGCGCGCGCC